TATATGTATAGGTACATCACATATTTCAAGCGTAATATACTGTATTGACATCCTTACAAAAGGTCACCAAGTGCTTTGAAAGGACTTCTGATATAAATTGCTATACCCCTGTAATGCTTCCAACTAAACTTTAAAGCGTGGCAAACCTGCAGGCCAAAGGGGGCGGCAACGCCTGCGGCAGTAAATCACCATCACCAAAATCCCATTTCATCTCATAAATTCACCATTAAATCACATTCACCACGAACCCATGCTTCACCCATGGCTTTCGGGAACCAAAATCCTCAAAATCCACCGGAACCGCGAGCTACGCGGTTCACGCGCGCCACGCGAAACGCTTTGAACTCAGCTTCTGACGCGGCACATGTGAAGCCATTGTCCTGGGGGCTTTTAGGAGGATCATGGCTAAATTAACGATGGTTCATAATGGTTCATAATGGTTAATAATGGTTCATGATGGTTAATAGTGATTAATAATGGTGGTTTTTGGTTAATAATATAGCCATAATGGTTAATATATGGTTAATAATGGTTAATAATATAGCCATAATGGTTAACATGTGGTTAATACTAATGATATACAATACTGGTTATTAACCATTAATAATACTGGTAGGTTCACAATTACTACTCGTAAGCCATTAATTAATATATCAATTAATTGTTATGGTACCCATAATTAAGGGAAATAGCTATAGTTAGTGGCTATAATGCATAATGGTTCATAATGGTCAATAATACTGGTATGTTCATAACTAATGGTTAATAATGGTTAATAATGGTTAATAATGGTTAATATTGGTTAATCATAATCATAATAATGGTTCGTAATTAGTGGTTATAGAGCTTATTATTGTTTATAATTAATGGTTAATACATACTGGTATGTTGATAATCAACCATTGATTATGGATGATAACGGCTATATATCAACAATGGTTCAGAATGGCTTTATACCCTCCATAATTGTTACATGTGTTTCCGGGTGTGATAATGGTATCCCCATGGCCAACTATAGTGCTATTATTATCATTAATATTAAATGAGCATATGTGTAATATATTGTTAATGGTTCATGATGGCTAGTAATGGTTCATACCCTCCGGTAACAGATGTAACAATGGGTCATAATGGTTAATACATGTTACCCTCTGGTAAACTAACATAGCTATTGAAAATTGCCCACTCAAAATAGTTGATTTACCCAGCTAGAAAATTGTTATTTTCCATAGTTATGTGGTTGTTTACCAGGAGGTAATGGCTTTTGGAACCTTTTTGGAACTCCGCCAATGGGATTAAGGCGCCTGAATTTTCTTGTGGGTGATGTTGGTTAACCTATCCATACCCTCTGGTAAACATACAAAAAAACTATGGAAAATCCATTATAAATGGAGCTTTTTGTGAGAAAATCATCTATTTCTATGGGCAATTTTACTGTTAAAGCAAACTGTTAAATTACCAGAGGCTAGATATAGGTGCTATTCTGCTGTTGGCTCGTCAAAAAAGGTGCGAACGGTTTCTTCTCTGTCCACGTGAAGAGCATGTTGGCGACAGAGTTATCTGATCTCCCATCAAAGAAAAACATTCTATCATAAGTTGAGCCACTAAAAAAATAGCCCTACCCTATAGCAGTTTTTTCTGGTTTGCTTCACAGCTATTCCTATGCTTGGTTACAGTATATCATCCGGAATAGCCCAAGTATCATCCCATGTCTTCATCCAATTCTGATTCTTACAACCCACCAAAATGATGGTTAAATCTTAGTGAAATAAAATAAAATAACCAAGTAAGGTATTTCTCATGGCTAAACTTGGATTTGCGGCTCCCCCAGAGATAAACACTATCCCCAAAAAAGGATTCCCAATTTTTGGTGGATGTTCCATTGGGAAAATAACACACAAAAAACAGTTATATATGTTTCATTCCCAGATCATCCAAGGCCTGTTTTTGGCAGCTGCTCAATTCGCGGCGGCTGGCTCCGGTTTTTTGGGGGTCAGCGGCAGCGGGTTGGTGTGGGTGATGACAGGTTGGAGCAAAGGTACCAAGGATCTCCAATGAGACTGGCAAAGGTTGGTTTGTTTAGGTAACAGTGAGCAATATTTAGGCAACATAGTGCAAAATACAAGTTCATGTTTTAGCAAAGCAGTACCAAAAGTGTCAATGACTTGGCATATGTTCAAAGAATTGGCTTCCTGGCGTCCAATTGGAGCCACAGCTATATGGGTTTGTCTGAAAATATAGTATCCAAAAATCTGTTGGTTTATTATTGCTTCCTATTAAAAACATGGCTATAACTGGTGGAATACAGCAATTTCAGACACACCCATATTGTTCCTTAGTCAAAAATATTCCATTATTAATCATGTCAATCAGATATTCTGGATTATGCCCCATTTTTGTTTACCCATTATTAATCCGATACATTATTCTGGGCAAATTATAATAATTCACTAACCTGAAATGTTGTGCCATTTTGGGATGATTCCTCTTATTAACCATGATTCCAGGGTTCCGGAGAACAGGGTTCGGTCGTTATAATTTGCCCTTTTCCTCTGTGCATAGAGTCAGTGGCCCGACTGGTGTGAAGCCACGACGGTCGTTATAATTTGCCCAAATCATCACTTCCCATACATCCATACTTAAAGAAAAAAACAAGATGGAACATCATATCACTTCCCATGTTTTTTTTAAGTATCATTATTACTACCATGACTTACTATAATGGGATTTTTACTTCCCATGTTAAAAAATGCTCGGAAAAAAAAACACATTCTTAAAATTATCCCCTTACGGGATCACATCTTTGATTGTAGCCATTATCAAAGATCCATTTAATGATACCCTCTGGTAAACATACAAAAAGCTATGGAAAATCACCATTTTTAATGGGTTAATCAACTATTTCTATGAGCCATTTTCCATAGCTATACTAAATTACCAGAGGGTATGACATATCATGGTAAGTTTGCTAATATTATTATTATTACTATTATTACTATTATTATTCCATTGTTAACCATATTGTCACCATATTATTAACCATATCTTTATATCACTTCCCATACGGTCAAAGATGAGGATGGGATTAACTGATTGCAACTTGATCAGCTGACCTTTTCAAAAACGACCGCTGGGAACGCTGGGCCAAAAAAGAGCATGGTCATATGGGACTAAAACAACGTTGTTTGGCGATAAACAAATAAGGATAATATAAATATATATAATATTATATAATATTGTCATATTATAATTTATTGTTATATTATGATATAGTATTACTAAGTATTATAATTATCATTATCATTATTATCATTATCATTATACTGTTATTCATTATCGTGATAATTCATTATATATAACACATAAAAATACAATCATAATCAAACACATAATTGACATAAATAAATGATGATATAATATCATGTATACTAGCATATACAAACCAATTGCTTTGAACATTGAACATGCGCATGCAATTTAGTAAGTGGACAATTGACAATAACCTATTGAAGTTGCCACACATTGTTGACATGTCCCCCATGGCCCCATCTTGGATAGCCTGCATTTTTCAACACATGCTTAGTATAAGTATATGTATAATATATATATATATATCTGGGTAAATTATAATAGTTCACTATATAACCTGAATTAAGGCCATTTGGGGATGATTTCCCTTATAAGCCATGATTCCCAGTGAGGTCGCAGTGAGGTCGTTACCCAGATATTAATATCATATCCACATCTATGGCATTCTCGAAATCCAAGGCATCTAGGGGGCAGAACTCACCCAAAAACCTGGCTGCGTTTACGATGCTGCGTACATTTTATACCCTCTGAGACCAAAAACTCACACGAGAGGACCGTCCAAAAAGCCACTGCATGCAGTGGTTTCCACTGCCTGGCGGCTCTGCTTAACAGACGCTGCGCCATCAGTGGCGTCCATGTTGTTCTTATGAAGTGCAAAATGCCTCATTGTTTGTCACTTCCGTTTAATTTCCGTTTGCTGGTCCAAAAATATCATACAGAAAACATGTCCTTGGTAATAGGTCAACTTAGGAGTGCTGATTTCCGCTTAGTGCATCTTATTCGGAGAATCCTGTACTATCTGGGCAAACTACAGAGAAAACACGCCGTTTGGCGGTGCTTCAAAGGGCAGACTTCCTTGCTTTCGAAGAATTCGCTTCACAGAACTACATCAAACATCTTCAAAAGGTTTAACATCTGGTAAACTAACATTATATGGAAACATCACCATTTTCAATGGGTGAATCCACTGTAAATCACCATTTTCAATAGCAAACTGTAACACATTACCAGAGTTTAACATCTGGATTCCGAGATGTTCCCCTCTGGCTGGCTGGCTTCAACCAGTCGGAAGAACTTCCAGAAAGCATCTATCGGTCGATCAATGATCCCTGGCATACCCTCTGGTAATTTAACATAGCAGCTATAGCAATTGAAAATGGCCATAGAAATAGTTGATTTACCCAGCTAGAAAACGGTGATTTTCCATAGCTTTTTGTATGTTTACCAGAGGGTATCATTAAATGGATCTTTGATAATGGCTACAATCAAAAATGTTCATTTTCCATGGTTATGTTAGTATACCAGAGGGTAAATTGAAGCGTGAGCTTCTGGCGAGGTCGCACCTGGGGACCTGACACATGAAAACTAGGATTTCATCTCTACATTTCTAGTCATTCCTGAACTGCAACATACCAACTCGGTTTGAGACAACATTTGGGTGTGGCTGGAAATGGGGGTGCTGACTTCAAATTAATATAAAATAACTAGTTTGATGAGAAGACATATATAATTTCATGAAAGGACTTTGGGATACTATTTTCAGACAAACACATGTTGTGTGGTCGAAATCAGTCATCATATCTAGTTTCGGTCAAGACTCTTCCGACTCTTCCGTTGAACAAAAACACGGATCGATGATCATCTGCCACATTTGCCCAGAGGAAAAAAGCTAAATAGTCACACAGAGTGACTCAGGACCATCGCTCTTCTGATTTCTCTGCAGTGTTGATGGTGGCCAGGCTTAAGAGACCTCCAGTTTCACGAGCCGCGACAAATGTCGGGAGATTTTTGTTGAGCTGCTTGGTGGTTGAGCCACCTTTCCACGAAATGTAGTGTGTAGTTTGGAATATTTGGGAATGTTCATCCGATTTGGTGAACTTCCTATCTGAATCTTCACCAGCTATGCCACAACAACCCCGACACGTGGCAAGAGGAGCCCACATGGAAAGGGTTGCATTTCGTTTTCTTCACTATTTGGAAGTTTCCTACAATGAGCGTTCCTATGGGTACCCCCAAATCATACAAGTCAATGGACCAGATTGGACCATTTTAATTAGTATTGAATGGTGCCTTGGGGAGTTTCCAATGTTTAAGAAACCCCCATTTGAAGTTCGGCCTCAACACTTGAACCTAAAAATCCAGATGAAATGACGGGAGTTGTCCGAGGGAAATCGCTTTGTCGGAGGATTATGGCTTTGACCAACAATAAAGAATATTTTCTAGGCTGTTGTTAACACATGCTCAAAAAAAACGGCCATATTACCCTCCAGTAAATTAACATAGACCCTGGCGGATAGGGGTTGGAAGTTTAGTTTCCACTAAAAATTGGTCATTTTCAGGGGTCTATGTTTATTTACCATAGGGTAATTTCTTTGGAGGGGTCCTTTTTCACAAACATCCAGCGGCACTGAAAGGGATGATCGGCCAGGGATTTTCTGGTTGGCACACCAGGAGCCCAGGATTCACCCCATCTACCCGGCCTGGTAAACATACAAAAAGCTATTGAAGCCATGGCCATTTATAGTGGATTTACCCATCAAAAAATAGCTGGTAAACTAACATAGCTATTGAAGCCATGGCCCAGTCGAAATAGTTGATTTACCCAGCTAGAAAATGGTGGATCTTTCCATAGCTATGTAAACGTTTACCAGAGGGTAGATACAGTATATCATCAGGAATTCATCACCCATCACCCACATCTAAGTAGATCAATACATTCACCGTAGATCGAATTGTTAGCCAAGTTATGCTTACCAGCTTACCCACCATTGTTGTTGAAGGGGTCACTGCTGCACCAACAATTTCAATGCACTTGTTCAGGAAGCCAGGGTAAAGAGATGTAAAGAGTAAGCCAATTGAATCCAGATTCGTTCCCCGTCCATGCAGTGTATTTCTGTAGTTGTGGAAGAAAAGAGTGATTTTCATGGGGTCAGCAATCTAGAAACACCTCCATGATTCCATGTATATCCCCATTGCATGTCCCTTCTCTTGCAAATTCACCACATCATTGGGTACTTGGCAGTTCATCCGGTTCTTATAGTACGTGGGTGAAAAATACCGTTTTTTTAGTTGGGGACATAGACTGAAATCGATACGGTGATCGCTCACGTATAGCCTACTCAAATACAATTTTGAATGCACCACCATATACATATGGTTGGTTTATATTCCACTATATATATATATCCACATCATAGTCGGTTACATCCGCCGTTGCTTGTTGGTTCTTTTTTTATCCCCTACTATATCCATGATTCATTGGATAAATCCCTTACGTCCACAACTTTTGTTGCAGCAAATGGATTGGTTTAGTTGGGAAAATCTACAGGAAGCCCTTTTTCTTTTTTTAACCCAATTTTTACTGGCGTTCCTTCAGATTTTCCTCCAACCATGAAATCCATGGAAAAATCCTGTATCTTGGATGCTGAAATCAGTTAACACAGAGCTGCGACAGAACTTCGAAAACATACATGGTGAATCTTAGATACCTGCCAACAAAAACTAGTTTTTAGGCGGTGAATACATTTAACAATTGATAGCAAAAGGTTAAAGTACTAAACCCTGTGGATCCAGCCGTTTCTGAGGAAGTATTTAGGGTATGATTTGTGGGATTAGGTACCTTCTGAAGTACTTGGATCATCTTGGATCCATAGGGAAAGTATCTAACCAAGGTTGACCCAGCATATGCCAGGCTGCTCGCTTGCTGCCAATGCTCGCTCTTGAGGAACTCGATGCTAGTCTCCTGGAAGTGCTTGCGACTGTCCCCGGTAAGGAGTAGCTGACCGTTAGCAGCAAAAAGGAATACAACATGGGGCCCCGGTTAGCGACCAAACCATAGAACAACATGGTGCTTTAACTAAGAAAATTGGGATTTCATGGGATATCACCAACTCTTCACGGGGCTCATGGGGGACGCAAAGGATGTAGTGATGAAATACTGACCTCTATCTTCTTGGGGGTTACACTCTAGTGAACAAACGTAGCAACCACTTTCCAACGAAAACTAGGGACGATTTCCATGTTAGTTTTCGGGATAAAAGTGCCAGTATGCAGCCTTTTGGGTTGCCATGTTAGCTATATATCCCCCTCATACTTCCCTATAAAATCTAGGGGGTCATCCCCCACTATATAACGAAACCTTTGGATTCGCCGGACATCCCCAAGAGATCCCCCAGATGACGCCAATCCATCCCATCCACAGCCATTGGATCACAAGTGGGACTTGTGGAGCCATGGATACCACAACAATCAACAGTGCTTCCCCCCAATTCCCCCTGCCCCCAGGGACCACAGTGGAGCATTTTACGCAGGAACCTAACCTAGCAATTTTTGGGTGCCTGGTGGCTGCAGGCCGTAATGCCTTCCCCTAGGGTCCACAGTGGAGCATTACCAGGCACACAAAAAGTGATTTTCATTGCCTTTTTTCCGATCAATTTCAATAGCACAGCTCTATTCAAAAATGCATTTTTGGGGCTCGATCTGGCCGGGAGGCCATTGGTGGTGATTGTCAGCAACTTTGTCCCTGGAAAATGAAAAAAAGTTAGCCAGTGGCGTATCCACTGGTGGCTGCAGGCCGTAACCCTCTGCCCCCAGGAACCACAGTGGAGCATTTTACGCAGGAACCTAACCTAGCAATTTTTGGGTGCCTGGTGGCTGCAAACCGTAATCCCTTCCCCTAGGGACCACATTGGAGCATTGTACCAGGCACCCAAAAATTGATTTTCATTGCCTTTTTTCCCCGATCAATTGCAATAGCACAGCTCTATTCAAAAATGCATTGTTGGGGCTCGATCTGGCCGGGAGGCCATTTGGTGGTGATTTTGAGCAACTTAGTCCCTGGAAATGAAAAAAACAAATGTTCCCCATAGCTAGGTTAGCCAGTGGCGTATCCACTGGTGGCTGCAGGCCGTAACCCCCTGCCCCCAGGGACCACAGTGGAGCATTTTACGCAGGAACCTAACCTAGCAATTTTTGGGTGCCTGGTGGCTGCAAGCCGTAATCCCTTCCCCTAGGGACCACAGTGGAGCATTTTACCATGCACCCAAAAATTGATTTTCATTGCCTTTTTTCCCTGATCAATTTCAAAAGCACAGCTCTATTCAAAAATGCATCGTTGGGGCTTGATCTGGCCGGGAGGCCATTTGGTTGTGATTTTGAGCAACTTGGTCCCTGGAAAATGAAAAAACAAATGTTCCCCATAGCTAGGTTAGCCAGTGGCGTATCCACTGGTGGCTGCAGGCCGTAACCCCTTGCCCCCAAGGACCGCAGTGGAGCATTTAACGCAGGAACCTAACCTAGCAATTTTTGGGTGCCTGCATGGTGGCTGCAAGCAGTAATCCCTTCCCCTAGGGACCACAGTGGAGCATTTTACCATGCACCCAAAAATTGATTTTCATTGCCTTTTTTCCCCGATCAATTTCAATAGCACAGCTCTATTCAAAAATGCATTGTTGGGGCTTGATCTGGCCGGGAGGCCATTTGGTTGTGATTTTGAGCAACTTGGTCCCTGGAAAATGAAAAAACAAATGTTCCCCATAGCTAGTTTAGCCAGTGGCGTATCCCCTGGGACCACAGTGGAGCATTTAACGCAGGAACCTAACCTAGCAATTTTTGGGTGCCTGGTGGCTGCAGGCCGTAATCTTCCCCTAGGGAAACAGTGAAGCATTTTACGCAGGAACCTAACCTAGCAATTTTTGGGTGCCTGGTGGCTGCAGGCCTTAATCTGTTCCCCTAGAACCACAGGCACCAAAAAAAATATAAAAAAACATTTTTGGGGCTCGATCTGGCCGGGAGGCCATTTGGTGGTGATTTTGAGCAACTTAGTCCGTGGAAAATGAAAAAACAAATGTTTTACGCAGGAACCTAACCTAGCAATTTTTAGGTGCCTGGTGGCTGCACGCCGTAATCCCTTCCCCTAGGGACAACAGTGAAGCATTTTACCATGCACCCAAAAATTGATTCTCATTGCCTTTTTCCTGATCAATTTCAATAGCACAGCTCTATTCAAAAATGCATTTTTGGGACTCGATCTGGCCGGGAGGCCATTTGGTGGTGATTGTCAGCAACTTAGTCTCTGGAAAATGAAAAAACAAATGTTCCCCATAGCTAGGTTAGCCAGTGGCGTATCCACTGGTGGCTGCAGGCCGTAACCCCTTGCCCCCAAGGACCGCAGTGGAGCATTTTACGCAGGAACCTAACCTAGCAATTTTTGAATGCCTGGTGGCTGCAGGCCGTAATCCCTTTCTCTAGGGACTACAGGCACCCAAAAAATTCAAAAATGCATTTTTGGGGGCTCGATCTACCCGAAAAGCCATTTGGGGGTGATGTTGAGCAACTTAGTCCCTGTAAAATGAAAAAACACATGTTCCCTATAGCTAGGTTAGCCAGTGGCGTATCCACTGGTGGCTGCAGGCTGTAACCCCAGGCCCCCAGGGACCACAGTGGAGCATTTTATGCAAGAACCTAACCTAGCAATTTTTGGGTGCCTGGTGGCTGCAAGCCGTAATCCCTTCCCCTAGGGACCACAGTGGAGCATTTTACCATGCACCCAAAAATTGATTTTCATTGCCTTTTTTCCCCGATCAATTTCAATAGCACAGCTCTATTCAAAAATGCATTGTTGGGGCTTGATCTCGCCGGGAGGCCATTTGGTTGTGATTTTGAGCAACTTGGTCCCTGGAAAATGAAAAAAACATGTTCCCCATAGCTAGGTTAGCAAGTGGCGTATCCACTGGTGGCTGCAGGCCGTAACCCTCTGCCCCCAGGGACCACAGTGGAGCATTTTACGCAGGAACCTAACCTAGCAATTCTTGGGTGCCTGGAGGCTGCAGGCCGTAATCCTTTTCCCTAGGGACCACAGTGGAGCATTTTACCAGGCAGCCAAAAATTGCTAGGTTAGGTTCCTGCGTAAAATGCTCCACTGTGGTCCGTGGGGGCGGGGGGTTACGGTCTGCAGCCACCAGTGGATACGCCACTGGCTAACTTTTTCCAGGGACAAAGTTGCTGACAATCACCACCAAATGGCTTCCGGCCAGATCGCGCCCCAAAAATGCATTTTTGAATAGAGCTGTGCTATTGAAATTGATCGGAAAAAAGGCAATGAAAATCAATTTTTGGGTGCCTGGTAATGCTCCACTGTGGCCCCTAGGGGAAGGGATTACGGCCTGCAGCCACCAGGCACCCAAAAATTGCTAGGTTAGGTTCCTGCGTAAAATGCTCCACTGTGGTCCCTGGGGGCAGGGGGAATTGGGGGGAAGCACTGTTGATTGTTGTGGTATCCATGGCTCCACAAGTCCCACTTGTGATCCAATGGCTGTGGATGGGATGGATTGGCGTGATCTGGGGAATCTCTTGTGGATGTCCGGCGAATCCAAAGGTTTCGTTATATAGTGGGGGATGACCCCCTAGATTTTATAGATAAGTATGAGGGGGATATATAGCTAACATAGCAACCCAAATGGCTGCATACTGACACTTTTATCCCGAAAACTAACATGGAAATCGTCCCTAGTTTTCGTTGGAAAGTTGTTGCTAACATGGTAATTACGTACCTTTTTTGGCTCCACTAACATGGCAACTGTGGACTGCCCAGGGCCAGAAATCCCAAAAATGCACCAGGCAATAAGAAACCCTTTTGACATCCCGGTTTCCCAGGGAATGACAACCAAATGCAAAGAATGTAAAGTGAAGAACACCCCAAGTAACAGCCTAACATAGCAATTGCCAATGGCCAAATACCAACTGAAAACACCTGAAGGAAGACCCTAACATAGCAAGTGAAACATTTTGTTTCCAAAAAAGGTTACTTAAATTTACTTAAACTTACCCCGCCAAAAACTGAAAACACCCGAATGTATTGCCTAACATGGCAACTGAGGAGCTTTGTTTCCTCAAGAGGTCCTTAAAACATTTTGAGATTAAGACGTAATGTGAAGTCCATACCCTGCTGTACGGTACCTAACCTGGTCGGATTTTTTCACATTACCCTCTGGTAAACTAACATAGCTATGGAAAATCACTATTTTTATGGGGTAAATCCACTATAAATAGCTAACATAGCAACCCACTAGCCTTCAAAACACCATGAACACTAGCTTTCAAAAATTGTTGGGCCGGAGGGGGGCTGGTCCACTCTGCGCGCTAACATGGATACCGTTTTATGGATACTGTTTTTAGTTGCCATGTTAGGCACTACCATCGGGTGTTTTCAGTTTTTGGCGGGGTAAGTTTAAGTAAATTCATGTAACCTTTTTTGGACTTTACTTGCTATGTTAGGGTCTTCCTTCAGGTGTTTTCAGTGGGTATTTGGCCATTGGCAATTGCTATGTTAGGCTGTTACTTGGGGTGTTCTTCGATTTACATTCTTTGCATTTGGTTGTCATTCCCTGGGCAGCCGGGATGTCAAAATGGTTTTTTATTGCTTGGTGATTTTTTTGGATTTCTGGCCGTGGGCAGTCCACAGTTTCCATGTTAGTGGGGCCAAAAACGGTCCACAGTTTCCATGTTTTTTCACTACAGAGTACAAACAGTCACCGTTTTAAGGATTTTGTGATTAATTGTATATATAGGCAGTTAAACTTGTTGTTGCAAATATACATTATCAATTGTAGTGTAATTAGTATAAATCTACGACTGCTATTGTTGATTATTTTTGTTGGTATTTTCAGGATGGTAGTTTAATGATGTTTTCCTCACACTTGCTAGATTTCCAGCTTTTCTATCTTTGTGTAGGTTGCTGTAAGTGGATAAATGCGCATTGTATACCTGAGGTATATCCCAGTAACCTAACTGTGGTGTGAGATTCTGCTATGATCCACTTACTAAATGGAATGCACATCCGCACACTTTCATTTGGGGGAATATATAGTGCGAGAACTCCCACCCAGTTAGGTGACATCATCATCTACCAATTCAATATGATTAAATATCATTGTATAACTGGTTGGTGGTTTCAACCCCTCTGAAAAATATTAGTCAATGGGAAGGATTATCCCATATATCATATATTATGGAAAACAAATGTTTGAAACCACCAATCAGATAATGTAATTTGCCCCCCCAGTGATGTTTGTTGGTTTCAAACCCCATCTAACCAGTTCGTTATACCTACCACAAACTATAGAATTCACCTAGTGAGAAAGCCACTTCCTTGTAGGAATCCAAAATTATATGGAACGAGCCATGGGGAGCGGGAAAGCAACAAAGGGGAATATATAACCAACCCCAGTGGAAATACTAATGGGATACACTGGAAAATTATTGGATAATCCAAAGGGTTTGAACCCATGAAATTTGCACTTCTTTGTTGAATGGCCATGTTGAATGCGAACATTATCACAAACATGCGGATTTGTTTTTCCCCACGCGCTTTGAAAGACAAAAACCGGTGGTACTTTCCAAACCCCCCAGGCTCTGCCACACACTGGGATAGCATGGGATAACCCTTTAGTTTTCTGGGACCAGAAACATATCCTCATTGGAGCATAGCTTACTATCATGAAACAACTGGGCTAAAAATAGCTGTTTTCTTTTGATCCGTAAAAATCAACTGCAGAGCTACTGCATATATATATATATATATACCCATATATGTACATATATATATATATATCCATCGTAAATCTTACTTATTGTATATAGCTGTAATGTTTTTAAAGCAACAAAAGAAGCCACTACGATCGACTACACGATGGGAAGCTCTGGATTCGCCGATACGCGCGATACGCTACATGCGATACGGTTTCGTGGGGAGGATCCTAATATAGCTGCACTAGCTTCACCAATAATGTGGGTTTTAATGGTGATTTAATGGTGATTTAATGGTGATTTAATGGTGATTTAATGGTGATTTAATGGTGATTTAATGGGATAAAATGGGATAAAATGGGATATACCGTAATCCGAATATCTAATAATATAGCTTCCTATTCAGGTAATTCAGGGAAAATGTCTTACTATTGCTTTACTCAACATCATGTTGCACCAATTCTTGTAGCTACATTGCAGAACATATCCTCGTCCATGCCTGGTTGAGCACCTGTCCGGGCAGTTCTTCCTGTACCACCTGGCCCGAACGACCCGACATTGGCATGGGCTCAGAAGTGGTTTGTTTGAAATTTCATGTTTGACTTCGAAAGAAAGTTTCATGGAATCGTTAATCGTTAAAAACCAGGATTCCCAGCTTATAATGGTAACCTCAGCAATATTATGAATATTCCCTATGGATCCAAGATGATCCAAGTACTGAGAAGGCAGGTATGGATCCACAGGGATTGGATAGTACCCGAAAAAAAAAAACATCAACGAACAGCGCTTTGGCAGCTTCAAAAGGTACCAGGGAACCAGGCCATTTGGAAGACTTGGATCACAGTACATGACGATTTCACTGGGGAACCCGACCATTGTGAGAATGTAGTGCAACAATGTAAACAACAAAATGGGTTGTTCGGACTGTCTGAAAATGGTGGATTGTCAGCTCTAAAATAGAGCGATTTGAACAGGGAAAATTATATAAAGCAATGGATTTTGGGGTCCCTATTTTCAAACAATGCCATATTGGTTTTGTCAAGCGTGATTGGACCATTAATCTTGAGGGTTCTTTATCATCATTCTTTGGTCATGTACTTGCGTATTGATACAGATGGCATCCGGTGTCGGTGTCAACATTGGTAAACACCGACGACTTGAGACATGATTGATCCAACCAGTCAATGGCTGCATTGCAATATTTGAGAATGGCTCAAAACCTATCTGGTTGGTGGTATACCTACCCCTCCGAAAAATATGAGTGAAAGTCAGTTGGGATGACATGACATTACTGAATGGAAGTCATTTAAACAAAATCATGTTCCAAACCACAAAGCAGAATATCCTTATTATTATTCCATTAATAACCATATCATCACCATATGTAGATCATATAATAACATATAATCACCATTATTATTACCATATGAAAGACTAGGGGAAAAAATCCATAGACCAGCTATGACTCCTTTGGTACCATCATGTACCGGGTAAGGACTCATAGCCACAAAGCTGAAGCGGCCATGGTAGTCACTTCGGTCATTCACACAAATACCATCCCAACCACCGTTCTTTTTCCCCAATGGGCATCCAATCATCCAGTTATTACATACATCTATATATATATATATATTATACGAGTATCTGGTTGGTGGTATACCTACCCCTCTGAAAAATATGAGTGAAAGTCAGTTGGGAGATGTTGGGATGATGACATTCCCAACTGAATGTAAATAAACAATGTTCCAAACCACCAACCAGATATTATATGATATGTATATAAATGTATGATATTGAAATTCCAATGAAATTCCTATTCCCTTTGAATATATCATCAACACTAATTAGTAGTAAATTATGACTAGATCGATGATCCATGTCATGCGTGATGGTTTCAGGGAGGTCCCAGGAAAGTTCTCAGTTCCTGATCAAAGAAATCCCCCAGACTGGCATCAAACTCTCTGGCCTGCACCTTTCCCCTTTCGGAGGCCATAGGACCTCAAAACCCTGGGACTACCCAGATTTTTTTGGGGATCAAAACAGCTGGCTTTTTCTCATTTCAAACATCCTCCCTGTTTTTTGTTAAGCAACAAAAAACATACAAAAACCCAGTATATAAGCTACAAACATTGCGGTAAACTCACTTGAGTGGAACATGAACATGTCACGAAGCTATTCCACTGGCTTCTATTTGCATCATCAATTTGATTTTGTTGAAGGGACCCGACACGACATCCAAACACTCAAAATACGTACCTCCGGCAGTCTCCAAACCGGATATATTCCGGTCAGTTCAACCAGAGTGTATACTCAACTACTCAACTACTCACCAAGTTCGGACTTTGTTGGATGAACATGGAAACTCTCGAGCTCAAAGATTGGTTTGTCAAAAAAAACACAGATTACTTCAAAAACGATATTTTGGATGTCTCCCGTGCTTTTCAGACAAGGCCAAATAAACCACATTCCTAATATTGTGACCACGGGTCAAAATAGAAGACCCGTGGGAGGCAAACCCAATCATTTCCCATCCCAGTAAACGGCCATTTAGGGTGATAAACAGACATCATCCAGAGAAACGGTGTAGACAGCATACCCAGCGTCATAAACCCCAATCGCAGATGGTTTATTGTGCTTACCTCATGATTACATATGATTACCATTTTCAATTCAGACATAATGTTATGAAAGCGATGCCATAAACCACCCATAGTTTGATGGTTTTGAACACCCATGTATGCTAAAATTGGGGATGGTGGATCCTATTCCTTTACCAACATTAAACCATTTTGGGGATGATTCCTTACTTGAGCCATAAATAATACCCGTATCCCATCTCATGAAATACTATGATGTACTAGTTGGTTGATAGGTTTTCCTACTGTTACTATGGGTTATCATAATCCCCAGTGAATTTGGTAGTATAAGTCCCTATACTAACCCATCAACCATTGATTTACCAGCTTCATATAGTTTCATATCATATCATATTCTGAGATTTTTTTGGGTTTTAAACCCATATATTTGATGCTTAAATCAACATTAAATACCAATAACAAATTACACATGGTATTTTTGAATGGCTCAAGTAAGAATAACCCTCACCATCTCCTCACAGAGATAGTGAAATTGACAATTTTTGTAGTATAAGTCCCTATATTCACCAATTCACCATGATATGTTATATGGTTGGTGGTTGAGCCCTACCCTCTGAAAAATGATGGAGTTCGTCAGTTGGGATGATGACATTCCCAACTGAATGGAAAGTCATACAATTCCATGGTTCCAAAGCACGAATCAGGTTAAATATCACTAATGGTATTTAAATATTCACCATCTGGTTGGTGGTTTCAACCCCTCTGAAAAATTATCAGTCAAATGGGAGTATTATTCCCAATATATTGAAGAATAAAACATGTTCCAAACCACCAACCAGCCATGGTATTTTGATGTGCATTTTTCCATGGCGAATCTGAATCCATGGCAACGCTGGGGAGACGACTGACTTCCCCCGTGGACCTGGAGCGTGACTCAGGGTGCATCCACAACTGGGTTAGAACCCACCAGACTGGGGAAAATTCGCATTCTATGAATGAGGATACCCTCTGGTAAACTAACATAACTATGGAACACATCACCATTGTTAATGGGAAAACTCACTATAAATGGCAATTTTCAATAGTTTTCTGTATGTTTACCAGAGGGTATCACATGGCCAATCAGCCAGATACCCTGCAAATACTGTAAAAATCTTACCTGGTGAACGTAGAGAATCCCATTGATACCCAAGACTAAAGGATTAGTTTTTAAGTTTCTAGCCATCCAGTTGATTGACCTAGATAAATGGGTTAACGCTTAGAAGATATCATCGATGTTTATATTACCATCTGGTTATTTAACATAGCTATGAAAAATCCATGATAAATGGAAGTTTCTAGCTGGGAAAATCATATGTTTCTATGGGCCATGGCTTCCATATCTATGTTCAGGATTGGTGCCCAATGTTTGGAGGCCAATGATCGTAGCGATTTTGTACAGAGGTACCCATATGCAATTAAGGGCTATGAAAAAATATGCCTTTTTTCATATATATATATATTTCGAATTGATTGTACTTATAAACCAATGTAGCTATCTTGTGGACACCACATGACACCACATTGTACGCATATGATTGATGCCTCGTGTGCCAGGCATGTATACATTACTTTCCCAAGTCCAATCCTTACAATGTGGAGCCCCAGTTTGTTAGCTAAGTGGGTTAACAACTAGGTTAACTATGGTTTGTGGTAAAACCATAGTTAGATGGGATTATAAACCAACTTATAACTGGGGGGGCACCCAATTGTTGGTTCTATTGGAAGAATCCCATATTTCCAAAGTTTGACTTGAAAATCTGCCACATTTCCCTGTTGCGTATGTTGATGGCCAACCGTAAATACCCGGCGAAAAGGCTCTTTTCTAGCACCTGGAAAACATAGTGTACCATGCCTTTGGTCACGGTCATTACTTCACTGTGCAACACTACTGGGGTCACTGGAAATTATACTTTAGGTTTTACGAGTAGGATTCGTCGAGCATCTACGAATCTACGTCACTTTTCTGGATACTTACGATACTTTTGCTCTTTGTGCAATGCCAACCTTCACCAAAATCGAAATGAACCATGTTGTCCCTAATCCTAACGTTCGCCCGGACTCATGATTGTGACATAACAGAACAATATGTTGATTGGGGAAAATACTATCAACTTTATCTTCATGAGGGATCAACATTCGCCACCCCCTCTGAACAATACGTTGATTGGGATAATAACACCAACTTTATCTTCATGAGGGATCAAAATTCGCCACCCCCTATGACCAATGTTGAAAGGGGTGATAACATCAACTTGATCTTCATGAGGGATCAAAATCAGGAAGGCGGGACATCAACTCCGGGCAAACGTCCAGGTTGCAGCGAACATGTTTTACTCAACAATTGCGAGGTCACAAAAAAATTAGTAGCTTGAAGTGGATATAGAAATAGAGGGACCTGACCCGTTGAAGGAGATGACATTCGTATCTGGCAAAACCTTAATCCACCTACACTTCACCAGTCGGTTTACCGAGTCTGCTCCCCAAAACTAGTCAAAAACTAGTAAAAGGTATTTGATAAAGGGATTTCAAGTCTATAAAACTAGTACCAAACTAGTAATTTGGTATCATATATCAATGGATTGGTTTAAGGGACAATTTACAGGAAAACCTCATATTTAATGGGAAATCGATGGTTTCCTGAAGATTTTCCCTTAAACCAAACCGTTGAATATACAAAACTAGTCAAAAACATGAACCCCCATGATCTGCATGAGGGGATGTGGAATCCTCTACCCAAATTGAAGACCAAACTTCATGATCGATTCACCCAACTTCAAACCAACACAAAATCATATTAATATTATATCATAATAACACAAACACACCAATTTTAATAAGATTGATAATATATCATAATAACTCAAACACACTAGTTTTAATAACATTAATATTATATATATCATAATAACTCAATCACACCATTCTTAATAACATTAATATTATATCATAATAACTCAAACACAATTTTGTTAACAACATTAATATTATATCATAATAACTCAAACACACCATGCTAAATAACATTAATATTATATCAAAAAAACTCAAACACAAGTTTGTTAACAACATCAATATTATATCATAATAACTCAAACACATCATGTTTAATAACATTAATTAATATTATATCATAACAACTCAAACACACCATTTTGAATAACATTAATAGTAAATCATAATAACTCAAACACAATCAAAACACATAATTTCAAAATATCATTAATATAACATTATAATAGCTCAAACACACAATTTTAAAATCACGTTTATATGACATTGCAATAACTCGAACACACCATTTTAAAATAACATTAATATGACATTATGATAACTCGAACACACACAATTTCAAAATAACATTTAGATGACATTATAATGACTCAAACACACCATTTCAAAATAACATTAATATGACATTATAATAACTCAAACACACAATCTTAAAATAACAGTAACATTATATGACATATTATGATAACTCAAACACACAATTTCAAAATTACATGAATATTACATTATAATAACCCATGTGTTGAGTATGTTTCCTGTTGAATCTTACTGGTGCTAAACGTGGGGAATGTGGGAATGATCCAATCCATAATCATTGATCACCATTTATAATCATCCCCTTTCCCCATTAATTTAATAATCATTAATAATCGTAGTCAATAACAATGTTGGGGAAATTAATGATCATGAATCATTCCTTATTGATCATAATGGGGGGATGATAATACAATTAGCGATTAATATTATCAAACCATATTTGTTTTCAATTACTATGTCTGGATGATCACTAATTATCATATAATCATTTTCATATCCAACAATTTTCTTCCAAACAGTTCTCGCTACGTCGACTGCGCCGCACCTTCGACTTGGCTTGCCGGAGGCGATCAAGGTGTGCTTCTGAGCGACGGGTGAGCGGGAAATACAAAGGAATCATGGGGATATACAAGCTATTTATAGATGGTATAGATGGTAATTTCAGGTAGCTATGGGATAGATAACCCATTATCTATAGATGACTTACCTATACTAAAAAAAGGTGACTTTTCCATAGCTATGTGTGGGTCATTGCTAGAGGAAGAGTTATCCCGTGTCCCATATGCATCGTTTCAAAGTTGGCATATTCCGTTGCCAATTAAATACTGAAATAGTATATATATAATTATCAGAGGATAAACAAATGATATGATGGGATATTCTAAGGATACAGTATCAGTCAGAGGGGTTGGTTTTCTCAGGGTTTCTTTACAGAAAGCTAGGATATTTCATGATATTTCTCAGCCAAATCTGGAACTTCTGTCACTTCTCCCTTGCTGAACGATTCATTTTTTTTTTTGCAAGGGAGACGACTTCAGGGCCACAAAGTCACGGTGTTTGTAGGATTTTTACTCGCCTGTGAAGGGGCATTGGAAAACTGCTAATAGTTTGCTATTGAAAATGGTCATAGAAATAGTGGATTTACCAATTAAAATTAGTGATTTTCCATAGTTTTTTGTATGTTTACCGGAGGGTATCCATATTTGGGTATGGCTCAAGAAGTTTCAGGTACAGATTTTCCTGGCCAAAAAAGAACAAAGTCGTGTCTTGAGTGACCCAATTTTGCATGAATTATATAACTTGGAAAATCCCAACCGAGTGGTCAAGAATCAATACCCCCCATTGTGGTCACCCAAAATGGACAGATCCAATGTGAAACCTTGGTTTCTTGGGGGAGTTATTTAAGATTTGGGGGAATGGGTAACAAGCTAAGATGTTCAAGTCTAAGTATGGTTCAAAACGTGAAAAATGTCCGTATCCAATCCTCCTTCAGCTTGGAATGACGCAAATGATCCATATCTAATTGAACAAACCTCACCCTGTCTGGATAGGTATAGTAGATAAGCACCAAAAGATAGAAAACTTGAAAAGTGAAATCTTACTAAATGAATGGTAGTAGATTGTGTTCTATACATTGTCTGTCTTTATCGTTAATTGGGACTACTATATATAAGTCATAAGTAGATGCAAATAGACAGCAAGTGGGAATACTCACCGAACCAAAATTGAAATCGGGGACGAACAAAACACTCTTCACAAGGAACAAGACCATGGGTTTCTTCATGTTTTTCCGTGGAACAAAGCAATATTCTGGCCATGTTTACTATTCCACAATGTCACCTTGGAGAGCCCCCCAAATTGCCACAGCAACATCATGGAAGTTGGAAATCCCAAGAATGTGAATCACTCATACTCACTCACCATATTCTGAGCGTTGGAACTGTCCAGTAGCGCGCATTGTCGCGCAGGTAGCTGAGTGGAACCTCGGGAAACAGCGGCTGTGGAAAGGATGCCACACAAGGCAGGGTTGACTTCTCCGACTTACCCTTCACTAATCAGACATGGCAGTGCCAGTGGGAAATCCCGGAACTAAATGGAGATCTTGATGGGAAGGTAATGTACAAATGGAGGATTTTCCATTGACATGGTTGGTTACTGGAGGGTAAGCACGTTGCTTTTGAGCAGGACATCATGTATTCCCCCCATGATGTTCCTGATGTTATACAAATTGAGCTGTTCACCAACCAAACCGAGGAGTCGCCAGTCAGAGAAAGAGAAACCCCAGCTGGTGGTTTCCTAAAAATGGGGTACCCCGAAATCATCCAAGTCATGGATGACCATGACCCTTGGATTTTTCAGGCCATGGTTATGGGGTACCCCATAACCAAGGATCAACTTCAAGAGGGGTGACGCTGTCCATGGATTGATTTTAGATTCTGTTACCCTCCGGTAAATTAACATAGACCTGGCAGATAGGGGTTGGAAGACTAGTTTCCATTAAATATTGGTGATTTTCAGGGTCCATGTTAATTTACTGGAGGGTAGATGAGTTTCTGGGAATTGAATTGATAGCAAAAATCCAGAAAACAATTCCATATCTAAGATAAAATCAATATCAATCTATCGATCTATCTATTTCATCCATGTTGATATGGCTCCAAGCTGTGTGGACTTGGTGTAGCCCAAGGAACCCGAGATTTAAATCAACTAGTCATAGGAGCCACGGATCCCATGGATCCCTTAAAAATCACCACCGAAAACGGGTGAAAACCACCGCCGTTTATGGTAGGTTTATCATTGACTTTACTACATTATATAAACACCATCTTAAATAACTGATGCATCTGGTTAGCAAATCTCCACCCTTCATAGCAACCTTAAAATCAGCAGCAGAAAACATGACACGACATGTCCCTTGAGTTCAATGCTGAGAGCGGTTGTCGATTGGAAGGACGACAGGCCAACTGCGGATCAAGGGGGCCCGCGTTTGGGAAAATATCAGGTACCTAAATTGGAAGGCCTGTGTCAGTGCAAGGGAATGTGAACCTATTATTGTTACAGAACTAACATTGATGGGTGTATACGGTATATATATATTTATATATATATATATGTTTGAATTAACATTAATTATAAACTTGCATAACATTTTTATACGGGAATGTAAGAGTTCGATAAGTAATTTTTAAGATGCATTGACTAAAGGACTCTTATGCTACCGATACCATTTTAGTAAGGCCGATGTGGTTGAAAGGTCCTCCATTTTGGAGTAAAATCCCAGAGATTCGGCAGTAGTCCCCGTAAAGCATACCCCACAAAACCTAGTACATCGGATCTTACACTCCTTTCATGTTTAGTAAACGCCAAACAGATAGAAAAAAATAGAAAACCATGTTCCCACTATTTTAGTAGGATTGAGTTGGGATCAACATGTTCTATCTTTCAAATTTGCTCTTTCTATCGGTGTTTTTCCAAAAAAATGGCCAAGATTCCCCCCAGTCACAAGCCGAGCCGTTCGTCCCAGTCCCACTCCACGTGACGTCACCTCGCCCACGGTATGCAAGGTGTCATACAAGGGAATCGCAAGCCTCGGTGACTCGGCCATGAAAAAGGTCTGACCCATTCAAGGTGGGCCCCTTGGTCTATCGCAACGAAGTTCGTTTAGTGGTCCAATTACTAGGCTTTTTTTGTGGGACTTAGTTATATATGCTACTTAGAAATATATCCCCATGTGCCAAAAATATCTATTATAGTTTTTTTGGGGTTATATATCTATTATATATCTATTATAGTTCATGGGGATGGGGATTGTAAGTTCCAAACATCACCGGGGCACTGGGCTGCTCTGGGATGGACCTGAGACATCTTCGCTCATCGTATCGTTTCGCTTTGTGGCGACGTTTCCCCTGGCAAAAAACGCGAAAACCTCCTTCAATGCAAAGCGATAGACCCCTAGCCGCCCTAGCCCTAGCACCTTGAGCTTCCATAGGAGAGTATACTTCAAGCTACCCTCCGGTCATCGACTTTCACTGGGAAATTGAAATGGGAAAGTGATCTGTGATTTACATCAGGGTCACCAGCCCTGGCTGATCTCTACCTCCAACATCTCAAAGTCAACTGGGATCATCACCCGAGGAAGGAATGAAAGGAAGAAACCATAGTTGAAACCACTATAACATCTGGTACATGATTTTTCCCTATGTTTGTAGGTCATGTCCAAAAAACCTTGGTTAGTCACCCCCCATTTTACTGCAGCTTAACATGTCCAGTTACAGTAAACAAATCCCCAATTTCGTCAGCTTGATCCAATCCCACATAGTTTCGTAGGTTAGATATCCTCTGGTTGGTGGTATACCTACTCCTCTGAAAAATATGAGTTCGTCAGTTGGGATTAGTATTCCCAATATATGGGAAATAAAACATGTTCCACACCACCAACCAGTCCTGTTTAGATGTTTCACATTGTTTCACCAACATACGTAGAAAGCGGTACAATGCGGTACATCTCATCACAGCTAAGAAGCTTGGACAGCGAGAAGCGCCCTCATCATTCACCTGTGCCACCTTGTTCATACCCTTTGGTAATTTAACATAGCTATGGAAAATCCACTATTAATGGCCATTTTCAATAGCTACGTTAAATTACCAGAGGGTATCACCTTTGCTCACTCGGTTTTCAAATTGAGGGCGGCAACGCCATGTTTTTCACTTGGCGTCAGAGCTCCAAGCGCCAGCCATCGGCGCAGCACATGAATCAGCCAGATATCCCCATAGATATCCCCAGCTTTTTTGTAGATTCACCAGCCAAAAGCATGCTTGCTGGGAATCGTTTCAATCTTTGACCTGCCACAGAAATTGGTTAGGTCAACACAAATCCTCCTCAAAATAGCGACAAATCAGTTCTCATCCAGTTGATCTGCCTCAATTCTTGATGCTTAAACTGCTCAAACCCAATAATTGCTGGTTACCTTCTCTCAAACTAACATAGCTCTGGAAATCACGGTTAGTAAGTTAATCATCAACCAATGAACCATCCCTACCATAGCTGTGTTTGATTACCAGAGTCTCAGAAGGTCTCAGAGGTTTTTTGTTATCACCAACTGGGGGTGTCAACCACCAAAACTTGGATTACAACATGATTACAACTCAAACACCATGATAACTACAGTTTTCAGCAATGAAAAACCAATGCTTACAGTTTTCAGCAATTGATCATTATACCCTCTGGTAAACTAACATAACTATGGAAAATCACCATTTTTTATGGATAGATCCCTTATAAATGGCAATTTTCAATAGCAAACTGTTAGTTTACCAGAGGGTAACTCAAAAACCAATCATTAGTTCCTGGAGGGTCACTCATGTCTCGAGTTTTCAGCTAGCCCCACTTGGTCACCCAACGTCTCAGCTAGGCCCCGAAGCCATTCTGCCGCACACTGTCCCACCTGACAATTCCCAGGGAGATAATGAGGACATATTGGGCAAAAAAACAAGGAATAACGATGCACCATTGGAGTTTCACCAGGACAAATGATGGTTTAACTAGGACAATTTTTATACAGCAACTAGGAAAAATTAACGCGTTGAACCGGTTGAACTAGGAAGTTTATGGGTTTCAACTGGGAAAAATGGGATATACCCTCTGGTTATTTAACATAGCCATAGAAAATCCAGTATAAATGGAGGTTTCTAGCTGGGAAAATCATCTATAAATGGGCCATGTTCCATAGCTATGTTAAACAACCAAAGGGTAACTATAACCAATTGTAGGTGGGATGGGGATTTCACCAAAACATACTAGGTTTTTTGTGGGATCAGCAACACTAATGGGTCCATGGAGTTTATCCATCGAAAAATAGAAACCGATACAATGAAACAATGATCAATGAATATAATCAATGATGGCCATTCCAGGAACCGATCTATTGGAGGTACCTACCATATCCTATGTAAGATGTAAGGGGATAGAGATAGACCCCCAAAATATGGCCTTAGATGGTACAGTACCTCCATTTTAGGATCCTGGAATTCCCATTAATCATTAATATAATGGGGGATTTAATCAACGATCATGAGGGTATGAATTGGAACGGGTTGTTGTTCACACATACCCCCTGGTAAATAAACATAAACCCTGAAAATCACCTGTAATGGAAACTAATCTTCCAACCCCGGCAAATTGGCAGGGTCGATGTTAATTTACTGGAGGGTAACATATTTTTTAGCCATGGTCAAGATACTTGGATTAATTCACACCACAAGGGGTCGTCATCAATCCCACTGTTCTATGAATCCCCACTGTTCTGATGACCTTGTTGCCCACATGTTGCCAGCATCTTTGGACCGTGGCGCATATGGGAATTTGGTGGAATTGATCAACAAACATTAGGAGAAAGGTTAATGAAAGACTGTTGGTTACTGGTTACATGGCTATATAACTTACTGGTGCTTAGCAGGGAATGAGGGAATGATCCATAATCACTATCAATAATCATCCCATTCCCCCATTCCCATCCATTTCCTGCTAAGCACTAAGCACCAGTAAGATAATTTTCCGGGTTTCTTAAACTGCTTTGATCGGTTTTTTCTTGTATAAACCACTGAAGAACAAATCTGATGGGGGATATCATCTGGATGTCAGGTGGATATAATGGAAATCTCATAAAATCTGATCAGGATACAGTTGTCAATCTCCATGTTTTGACAGATCCCTAGCAGTCTGGGCCCCAAGGTTTCGGCATGGTTTAATTTAGCTAACCCAACTTGTGGAATGTTGGTCAGTTCATCTCATCACGTTCTGGTTCCATATTCAATTTATCTGATGATCTAACCATTCAGCCATCATAGTTGGTGACATCTCATGTTTTTTCCATGAGTACCCCCAACTGAGCGCCCTGTTTCTTTTTGAGTCCGAGGTCAGGCTGTTGAAACACAAATACTAAATACTGTGTGACATTCAACTGGCTGTGAATAAATATATTACATCGATTAATTCTCTGTGTGCTGTGTTGCCTTCATCCTCACTTTTGTGCCAATTTGAACACGCTCACTTTGGGTGAGTTGCCAGCCAAATGCCGCCTTTTCCGATGTAAAACTTTGGACTCAGAGACCTTACAAACGGGTGATTGCAATTCCAAGCAGAGCCATATTGTCCTCCAATTATATATATATATTTAAATGTATATAAATATGGCCACACAACCAAGGTTTACCCTATGTCCTCCCTGACTGCGCAGCGAATGATTTGCCGTTGCAAAGGGGCCTCTTTCTCTTCTCGCACGAGGCTGGCCCACAATAAATGCCTTGGAGTGCGGCCAGTATTTTTCAGCGAACAGCATGAGCCAGGAAATGTGAAAGTCACCCAACCCGGTCAAGGAAAAAACATGAAACATGTGACTTTAAGAAACAAACATGCTGGTTCAACTGGATCAGGGATACAAAGCGCCCAAAATGGGGATGTTCAGCAATAGAAGAATGTGGAGGTTCACTAAGTACGTGTACGAAGTAATCCAAATGGGCGGGCTGAAGGATCTTTCATGCAAAGAATGAGTGAAATCTTCCAAACAGAATCGTGGGCATGCATGACACTGGGTTATGAACCCAACATATAGAACTGAGGTTCAGAGTGATGCTCAAACAAAACCGAAATGTAGTAGTATATTATATGTATACACATATTTACTTCATGATGCATTCGACAACGAAATGTTCGAGTTTACCCAAGTTGCCTGTGTTTAACATATTTCCAAAACAACTCCATACTTGGTTCATATCCAAATACTGCAGGTTTACTTACCATAGTGTTTTCTTCGGGGGAAGAGTTATATCCCGCCAAAAAAAATCTGGAACCCCCAAAATTGATTTGAACAATAGGAAATCAGATTTACTACCATATGTACTTTTTTTTTGTTTGTAGACACGTGTATACAGACTGAATATGAACACACACACACATACATGTGTATATGCATATGTATACATATATGATCATATACGTACGTACGTACGTACGTACGTACGTACGTACGTACGTGCGAGTATGTATGTATGTATGTATGTATGTATGTATGTGTGTATGTGTGTATGTGTGTATGTGTGTATGTGTGTATGTGTGTATGTGTGTATGTGTGTATGTGTGTATGTATCTATGTCTGCCTCCCTGCCTGGATGTATGTATGTATATGTATGTATATGCATGTATGCATGTATGCATGTATGCATGTATGCATGCATGCATGTATGTATGTGTGTCTGTGTGTGTATGTGTATCAAGTTAAACCAACTTCCAGCATCAATATATATATAAATATGATACCGGTATGTGCCGGCATATTATGTAGATGGCTGTGTGGACATTTGTAGACACTGTATATACATACAAGCTCATCCCACTTAGTAGGAAGGTTATATCATGTTATATCCCTGCTATTAGTAAGTAAAATAAGTAGGGTTATAACCTACTTACTAAGTAGGATGAGCCACCAAGTCTGTACATCATATATATATATATAAATAATAATAATACGTAATATAAATATATATATATTTATATTTATATATATGCACATTCTCCTGTGGTTTTATCTTAATCTTCCGATGCTACCAAACTGCTACTTCCAACCACCACCGTGAAGTCACTTCTCCAAGCGGCTGCTTCTGCGGCAGGGCCAAGTAAGCCAAATCTCCAGCCGCCAGGACCTGAGATGGGGCCCCGAGTCGATAGCGATCAGTTGCCTCAAAAAGGCTAAAAGGTGGTTGAATTCTGACTGGTTTAAGGTACATAGAACTATCTGGTTGGTGGTTTCAACCTACCCCTCTGAAAAATGATGGAGTGAGTTCGTCAGTTGGGATGATGAAATTCCCAACTGAATGGAAAGTCATGAAATTCATGTTCCAAACCACCAAGCAGATAGATACTTGGAGGATCATCCCACGGATCGCTTAACGTGGTTAACCATGGTGATCGTAAGTTCCCGATTCCTGGGATTCTCTCATGTATAAGTGGATGAACCAACCCCAGTTACAAACCACTTACTAAGTGGGATGATCCTCCAGGTATAGATTGTCTAAAAGTGGGTTCCTCCCAAATTTGATGGTTTAGAAATGTTTAGAGAAAATCATATTGTTTTCCATCAAAAAATTGCCATTTGGATTGGGAAATACCATCCATTTTAAGATAGAGTTCCCTATGTTCTTGGGATCTAAACCCCAATTTTCATGGTTTTCCACATGTTCTTGGGATCTAAACCCCCCAATTTTCATGGGGTTTTTGCGGCTGTCAGCAGCCCAGGATTCCACACCAACCCTGCCAGCAGCAGCCTTCTCTCCCTCGCCTGGGAGATCAGGAAATACTGGATGAAAGTAATGGCTTAGAGAATTATCATCATATTAAGCGGTATAGTATTTCTTGGTTTGTTTAATGATATCTATATCATCATATTATAATTAAATTATCATAATGAAAAGTGGAATTATCATAATAAGTGGGTTAGAAAAAACTGTAGTATTTCTTGCTTTGCTTAATGATATCTAATTGATTTATAATTATTCACTAACCTGAAAATGGGTGAAACATCATACGGTCAACTATGGGGATGATTCCTCGAATCCAATTCCCATCAGTCCAGCGATGTCACCGTGAGGTCATGACCAAATTCATCCAGATACATGATAAATGCAAAACCCATCTAACCCCAAAAAGGCTAAAAATAAGTTGCGAGGTTGAACAATTTAGAAACACCTGGGGGGAGAAAAGGCTGAACATCTATGAGTCTATGGCTACAAGCCAATCTATCCAAATCCCAAATTGGAGGATTGATGACCACGAATGGAGATTTGCCCAGAAAAAAGTGGGTCTAAACCTAATCGTCAACAACATGAAAAATCATCGTTGATATTTCCGCAGATTATAGTATGGGTATATTATATACAAGGAATATTTTTTGGCAGGAAATGGACTATATTATCAACACTATGATACTTAGGGTGTGAACGGCAATCCCCAAATCATCCCTCTGTTTCAGGGGAATCTGATGCTGTCGTTAAGGGCAACCTTGCAGTGTCCCGTCATCCCAGCGCAATTAGGAAATGAACATTTTGTCAATTGGAAGAAATACCCTCTGGTGATTCAACATAGCTATGAAAAATTGCTTATTTATATCCATTTATATATTATTTCAAGATGATTTACCTATGAAAATCGTTATTTCCATAGTAAAGAATCCAATTACCAGAGGGTAGACAGTCTGGCTAGGATACCATGGACCATCCTTCACCCCCCCACCGCAACTGAGTCTTTCGAACCGCTCTCTTGGCTTCTTCTAGTTCCTGCATGGGCTTGGAAGCGAATGGCACTCAGGTGATCATGGCTGTTTCTTATGATGTATACTAATATATATATAATATGGGTAAATTATCAGATTTCACTAATCTGAAAGTTTCGGCTATTGGGATAGTGACCCCTTACTAACCATCATTGCAGTGTCATAATTTACCCAGATATATGTATGTACAAAATATAATCATCCTGGAGTGAATAGAATATGGATTTTTCAATAAACATCAGTAAAATTAAATGATGATGATGATGAAGATGATGATGACGATATATATATATATATATCGCATATTCTATCTACTCCATGAATGTGTATCAGAATGGATCCTTGATCACGACCGTGAAGCATGGATACTACTTGAACCCTGGTTGGTTTGGAGGACTCCAATCATTTTTGACAGCAATATATATATACACATATATATATATACATATATATATATATATATCTTATTATATATAATATAATATTTTATGTAATATATATATAAATACATATATATATCACTTTCTGGGGGTGATTCCCTACTTGGAGGATCATCCCACGGATCGTAAGTGGCTAACCATACGATCGTATAACCAGGTCGAAGTAGCTTTCTAGCCCCATCTAAGCATAGATACAGTATATGATGATATATGGCTACCCTGAATACCATGAAAATAGCTAGTAAGTTTGCATGTATATCTCCAAAATATGGTATTACATATATATATATATACACATATGGCATGATAGGTTTTGATGCATCCCCATATCATATAATATCATATATCTCATGAGCGCCACTCCATGCGCCAGTTTTATCACATCCGTTGCGGGCGCTGCAGGCAGGTGAATGCATCAAAAGGCAGGAGAATGCGCAGCCAGTCAAAAACGTGGCATGCTGCCATTCACAACGCCTGCCACCACACCCGCACCCCGCCGCTCAAGCAGGGATTGGGTGGGTGGGAGGACTTGAGAGGAGAAGTGCGGCCCATTCATGTCTCACATGAACCACGTTCAAAGAACACCTATCATGAGCGCCACTCCATGCGCCAGTTTTATCACATCCGTTGCGGGCGCTGCAGGCAGGTGAATGCATCAAAAGGCAGGAGAATGCGCAGCCAGTCAAAAACGTGGCATGCTGCCATTCACAACGCCTGCCACCACACCCGCACCCCGCCGATGTTCCAACAGGCCAACATGGAAAACTGGCACAATGCCGAAGAAACACTTAGAAGCCAAATCGCTGCCGTAAAAAAAAATCATCAATACAACAAGAAGAATCAACAAGAGCATTGGCAGCAACATCACAAAACCGTTTAGGGTAAGGCTGAGCGAGATGGGTCCAGAGCTGTTTTGAAACACGATCTTGTCCTTTGAGAACAATATGAAATTGGTCAGTACGACTATTAAATGTATACATTTACCCCCATGACCACTGCAGGTGAGAGAAAGGCTGTCATTCGGCTGTACGAACCATCCCTGCACACGTGTTCGCTTACGCCAACGGGCACCATGTTGACAAAAGTCAGTAACAAACCTACGAGAAGAATGATGCTGACAAAGATCTTGAAGCCTAGGCGTCAACCACATCATGGAGCCCGCTGGGTTTTCTAGAAAACAGGGGGTGTGAAAGCTAATGGCATGTTGGATGACCTTGGTAGTAGCATGCAAAGTGGCATTACCGACTTTGATTTTTTGACGATCCGTAGAAGACAAACCAGGGATACCAAAAAGAAACTGATTGTTCCTAAGGGGGCCCCAAGAGGAATTGATCGGCCCATGCCGTGCTCTACTCCAGGAAGTGTAAGGTGTGGCCAGCCAGATCCCCTTGACACAACCGCTTTTGATCCATCCCAAAACAACCGACAGAACTTGGGGGTCAGTGAGGTCAATTCGAGAATCATCATTAATGTCAAGGGCTATCACAGCATGACCTTTGCGTTTGAGACTTCGCTCAACACCGTGGTCACCGCAGAACAGGTCAAGGAAGACTCGCCGACACTGAAATCGTTTGCACGTGGTGCGAAACAAATATCTCAAAAGGTCACGCCCAGAAAGGCTTTTGGGCCCAACATGTTTGTGACGGCTGTTCTTGACCAGTCTTTTGGTTATTTTGTCATTCCAAATGGGAGCTTTAGAATTTTGGGAAATTGGGTGAGAAGATTGGGCAGCTCTAACATCACCATCTTGCCGAACTGAATTACAGCGGGATGCATTTTGTGCAACTCGCTTTGGAGTCTTGCTGTCTTTACATATCGGCGCAGTGAACTGTCGGTAGCCCACCTGCCGCGCTGCTTGACTTCCTCCATGCTTCGTCGGCGACTCATGATGTCGAATGATGCCCCTCCGTGACGGAGGGTGTACATAGAGACTCCCAACGCCTCCAGCTTCAGATACACTACTGCTTGGTTGAACACTTCTAGGATCTGATTGTGATTGTGAGACCAAAGTGGTGCATTCCTGGGCCGATTCTGAATGAGATTCCTTAGGATTGGATTGATCCACATGTCGCTGTCTATCAAGATTCCTTGGTCGAAGATGCCCGTCTTGCCTGGGACCTTTGCCTCTGAAGGATTCAACAGGACCGCAAAGAATTGAAGGCTCCCCAGGAAACTGCTCATGGGTGGGATGACTTGACCGACCAAGAGATTGCTCGTCTCCCCCGGCCTCATGTAAGTCAACCATTGAATGAACAAATGGATTGCCATTTCCCTTCGATTTGTTGCAATGCAAAACCACAGTATGGCACCTAATCCCTCTATCGGCAGTGGCATCCGCTGCAATGGAGGGTCTGCATTCTTCCAACCCCGGAGGGCACGCAGGCACCGAGGCAAGCTTCCACTTGCACTCTTCCCCAAGTGTGGGTGAAAAAATCTGATGGCAGCATGGATCCTGATCCCTGAGTCCAGTTTGACCCCTGAGTCGAACAGGTCCTGAAGATACTCTACCAGAATGTTGTCTACCTGAGTCGGGTCGTTGAAATTGATCATCAAACTTCCTAACCAAACCATGAACTGGTTGAACCTTTTCTGATAGTCCCGTCTGGTTGGCTCGCGGACGCTTCTCGCCTCGAGGTATGTCATCCCCATGGGAATTTGCCCCTCTAACATGGCCTTGTCCTTTCTTTGCAGGTGACGAGTCACATGGCGATCCACCTTTTTCCGGAGCTTTTGATTGAAGACTTTGGGGTGCATGATCACGATTGGATCTTTCCCACCAGCCCTCAAATCCTTGGGCCTTCCAAAAATCAGTGGCACGTGATGGGACATCCGCAACGTTTCTTTCTGATGGCAACCACCTGACATGTACCTTTGTTTGGGTAGCTAATGAGAGCGCACAAATCTTCTGCAAAGGCTTTGTGAGTTGAGATGACTTGGCTCGCCCCTTAGTGACCCCAAGAGCAAGTGGCAAATTGTCAGTGAGACAAACCAACCTTCGCCCAAAGTTCCGCCCGCAGCGCAGCAAATGTTCCGCACTCCAGACTAGAGCTCTAGCTTCAGTGTTTAGGATGTTCGCCTCAAACTTCCAAGGACGGGACCATGCAACATGCCAATCATCTGACTTGAGAATCTCTTCGGGGATTTCATTGAATACGCCATCAATAATAAAATTAGACTCATCAAGATCATGATGACCACCTTGTTCAAGATGAATGCCAATGTCATTCCTTGGGATAACTGTACTGTTTGAGACCGCATTGAACTCAGAACTCGCAGGAGCCGGCAGCGGATCAGTGTTGCCCAACGCATGATGTCGCGCATTGATGGCATTAGGAAATCGAAATCTCCATTTCTCACTGCTCCTACCGATATCTTGCAAAATATCCGTATCCAATTTGCGATAACAAACACCAAGACCCCAAGGTGATGAATCAGATGCAGTTATATCTGTAGACCAGCCTGAATTGGCTTTGAACCGCAGCAAGGGCAACACCGAAGCAACCCACTTAAGTTCTTGCCGGACACTCTTCCAAAGACGCTTGTGTTTGGTTGAACCATCATCAATGAAAGCATAGCATGCATTCAAAAGAGAAAGTCCAGTACGGCGGCACAACAATGCCCAAGTTAGGTGTCCAACTAGAAGCTGCATAGTACGGCCAGAGCAAAACTGTCTCTCCAATAACTCATCAATTGCAAACTTGATCTTGAGAATTCGCTGCTTCTTCACCGCAACAGTTCCTTGAGTTCCATCAAAGGAGAGACCAACAAAATCAGCTTGAAGGCTCGCCGGCTCAATTTCATGAACCGTCAGACCCCAGCCTCTCAGAACTAGGATGATCTTCTGCAACCCCTCATCAACAGCCTGGCGGTTGGCTCCAAAAACACCGAAGTTGTCCACATAAGCTGCAACTGCCAAATCATCGGTTTGTTTCAATACAACGGCCTCCCGTTTATCCCCAATAAACTGCTTGCGGCAAAACCCAGCTTTGAGAATACCATATTCCAACACCGTTTGACAAAAATGAAGAGCCCAACTCCATCCCATGGGTAGCACTGTGATGTACGGCAAAGGGATGGTGCCAGCCTCAACTGCAGCGCCATTCACGCTGAAGATGCCCGCCTTCCCAGCCTCAATGGCCGGCATAGTGAACATCTCAGCTAAATCATTAGGGACAGCCAAGGTGTAGAAGGCATTTGCAAGGTCACCAGAGCCAATGTAGAATTGAGAACCTTCAACAAACTCGGTCCGTGTGAATGCATCTGCGGATGGCAAGTCAGTGGTTGGTGGAGCATGGAAACTCTCATTGAGTCTCCTAGTATCAAAAATTAAACGCAGCTGCCCTGACTTCTTCTTGACAAAGAAAACCCCAAGGTTACTCTGCTCCCCATTAGCTATCTTGAACTTGACCATGTTTCTTTTGCTAAGTTCCTTCAGGAAATCACCATAAATCACTGCATTGTTCTTGAGAATGGGATCAACATACGGCTTAACCGGCTTGTCAACTCTCCCACTGTCTGCAACATCACGAAGCATATGCTTGCGCCAAGCCCCCAGCCTTTCACTGTCGGCCGTTGGCATGCAGCTGCACAAGGACACAGGGCAGTTGCTCACCTCGGGCCAGGAGACATTCTCCTTGACGTAGGGCTGCACATCACTTCGACCAGTGTCATAGGTCTTGGATGAAGAACAGAGGCTACTCAAAGACACAGCCATGTCATTCCGATCAATGTTCTCATAGGTCCCCTTGTAGCACTCTGTTATGTGGGAAATCACTCGGCGTTGCACACGAGTGGCCTTTTTTTTAATATGAAAATCTGAATTATAACACCCAGCCAAATGGTTGAGAGTGGTAATACCCTGATTAGCAAAAACCCTCCAGTCATCACCACCGGTAGTCCCGCCTTCATCAGGGCCAAGCTCGGGCAGAGGGAAGATGTTACGCTGACGAAAATTCTCAGCAGCTCCCACTCCACGGATGAGCAACATGCACCAAACTATGAACAAAAACCCAGGACATCTGAAACCTGACAGCCATGAAGATGATCTCGAACTCACTTGTCCTTGTCTCCATCTTTTCCAGCTGACTTCCTGGCCAGGTTCCTCTCCTCCCGTGCTTTGCGACGTTCTTTCGC